TAGCTTTAAATGCTAGGCCATGCTTTTCAGGACTTCTGTAAAGAATGAGTGTGGTTTTTTTTCTTTTCCTCTCTCCTTTCTGTTCTGTTCTAAGATGTTTGGACAGAGAACAGGGCTTTAATTTGGTTTTAATGCTGATGCTCCACTGAGATTTTAAGAGGGAATTTCGCAGTTCTCCTACCGCTGGACCCAGACAGAGGGCCTCTTCTGAGAGCTTGCTCAAAATCTAATTGTTTCTAAAAAAAAAAAAAAAAAAGAAAAGAAAAAAAGATGATGATGATAAACAGTAACAGATTTGACCCTTTAAGGCCAGAATATTCCCTCTTGGCTTCTTCAGATTGGCATGTCCTCCCATTGGCATGAATACTAACAACACCTAGGCTGTCCTGTTCAGTCTTTATTGGTGTTTCTCCAACCATGTCACCAAGAAGGGTTATGTTATTATCCCAGTGTTCCAGGACCACATCTCCTTTGCCACAGTCCTCCTGGACACTGTTGGGTTCGGAGTGCTAGAAACGGGAGGCCTAGCTCCTTCTCAGCTCTGCGCTGGTGGAGCTGAGTGCCCATGAGCAGTTTTCATCCCCTGCCTTTTGTATTGCGGAGGTATGTTGGAGTTTTCACCAGTGACTGAGTTTCCACTGTGCCAGATGTTGCACAAATCCTGAACATAAGAGTCTTTCCCCAGTGGACTTCTAAGGAAGAGCCCTCCAAAGGAAGGAAGGTGAAATTCTGCTCTCAGAGGGAAACTGAAGTTTTCCCAAAGCCACAGATGCTGGAGATATATAAGCACCGATTCAGCAGGGCTCAGGAACATGCTCCTAACCCCCGTCGACTTCAAAGGAGCTGAAACGCTCTGAAAGCTTGAGTGTGACCTCGGCATTTGGCTGCTGCAAGCGCAGAATTCTTGGATCCAGGCGTGGGGCGTTTCTCCTGGCTGTGGTTCAACAGCAGCCTGAAACCCATCTAACCGCCCGTTGTTGTGGTCCTGCCCTACCCTCCCGCCTGCCCCTGCTTTGTGCCAGCTCTGGCGCTTGCCAGACCCTTCACGGCGTTATTGCAGCATGCTAAGCCTGCAGAAATGGCGCATTTGTGCCTTGATTTGGGTGCGTGGGGGGACAGCGTTTGTTCCAGGAACCAAGTGCTCGGTTTGCAACCTGACAACCTTGCCTGGGGCAGAGCTGTGCGCACAAGCTCGCCAGCCCTCGTCCCGCTCTCCCAGCGTTCAGTTCGGCTCGAGCAGCTTGGCTTCATTAGGCGCCTCTCAAATACCCACCGTGAAATATGGCAATGAAACATTACTAGCTCTTGAGCTGGTGATTGCCTTTCTCCACCAATTTTTGACACCCGGGTGGTGCTGGGCCCTACCTTCCCTAAGCAGGATTTTGCTGAGGTGCTGCCCATGCTTGAAAGAACTGTTTGTGTGCATCCTTCCCTCTGCAGGTGGTAATGCTAACCTTGATACCTGCGATAGCAGGGCTCCAGAGAAAGGGCAGCCCCTTTGCAGAGAGGAGAGCTCTCTGCCGTGTCTCTCCCACGCCTACAAGGGGCCCTCTGCTCGCTGTAGACTCCAGAGATGCAGAGCATGTCCTACATGTCTGGGCCATGCGGATGTTGTAAAATTGCCAGGGCAAGAGGCAGTCTTGAGAGTCGGTCCCTGAGTAGCTGAGTTTTGGCAGTGTAGATCTGTGGGTGGAAAAAAAAAGCCTCAGTGAAAGCAGCGGTGGTTACTGTGTATTGACCTGCAGAGCAGCTCAATGGTGGAACCGTAAACCCTTCTTCCTTGCTGACACCACGCTAGCTCTTCCCACCACCCGCCGGATGGTGTGCATGGGAAATGCCCCTCCAGGCAGAGGTACCCCAGCTGGTCCTGAGTGCTGTTAGAGCAGCGCTCTGGTCCCACGGGAGTGTGGGGCAAACGCGGTGGCCCCGACTCTCGTAACCAAGCCATTTCAGACTGAGAAGGCGCTTTGGCATCACCTGCGCCATCCAGCTCTGTGTAACGTGGACGTGCCCCAAGAGAGGCCTCAGCTGCGTTGCTAAGATCTCTTCCCTCGGGCCATGCAGTGGTGTGTTTGTTTTTGTCCTGGGGCAGCTTCTTAGTGATTCCTTGCTGCCTGAATGAAACAAAGGCAGTAGTAACAGCTCTTAACATTGCGCTTCAAACAGCAGTGAGTAGTCTGCCCATGCGGCAGTAGGTGGAACGTTTGCCCCACTCAAAAGTGGCGTTGCCTGCCTTTCCCCAGCCCCCCTTGGTGTTCCCATGAAGCAACGCTTGGGCACAGACCATTTTTCTTGAAACAGCTGCATCGGTTCCTGATGGACGGGGGTTTTATTGCCTCTTTCGAAGCGTGTGCAGGATGCCCTGTGGATGCCTGCTGAGGAGTGCATGTAGCCCCGCAGAGCTCTTCCAGGGATGGAGCTGTGGGATGCAGTGCACAGCTGTGCAGCCCTGAGTGGAGAGGGCCTTTCTGCGCTCTACCACATACACCTCTCGGTACTGACTTTTTATGATGATGAGGTGATTTGTTAAGCAAAATAGGAGTTTGATGTTCAGTAAGCCAGAGCCTCTGGCTGGAAACAAAATACTGAAAGTAGCTAGCTTGCAGCTGATGCCAAAAAAACTATAGCCCCAATCAAAGGTTTTGAAGCTGTTAAAAATTCTGTTGTGGTTTGGAGAGAGCAGCCCTTGAGTTCAGGGTCTCTGACCCCGAGGCAGTTGCGTTGCCTTTGCTTTGTTATTTGGCATCACTAGAGCATCCGTGTGTGCCGTTAGACCATGCTCTCGGCTGTCCCACTCGGCCTGGTAGTCTCCTGTATTCCTACTGTTTTCCAGCTTATTTCATGTCGATGTGAAACACTTTCTCCAGTTCAATTGGCAGTCAGGTAGCACCAAAACCTCTGCTGCGTCCTTTAACTCCAGCAGGTCACAGAGGCAGTCGTGGAGTTTGGTTAATATGGGGCTTGAAGGACATTTCAGCTTCTCCAGCCTAGAAGTCTCCATGCTTGGAGCACCAGTGGAATGGCCTGGACCTGCCATGATTGTTGTCTCCAAAGGGCGTTTCCTCCCGGTGGACTTGGGCAACAGGAGGCTGCTGTTGCTGCAGAGCAGTTCAGAAACGCAGGAACGAGTCTTGCCAGAGGCCTTGGGGGAAGAGCAGGGCATGACTTGTTGACAGAGTTTGTTGCTGAAACTCTGATTCCTTGTCTAATCCATTCCTTGGGGCCCCCGTGCAAATCCTGGTGGTCTTCCCTACCCCATGCAGGCCGATCTGAGGCACGAGCAGTCACCATGGTTGGTCTCTGTCCTTGGCTGCTGAGGTCCACCTGCGTCACCTCCATCTGCCTGCCACTTCTCCGGGGTGGGAGCCCAGTGGTGCTGGGGGCTGCAGGGTCCCTGTCTCAATGCGCCCGTGTGATGCCTGTCGCCGCTTGGCTCCTCTGCTCCCTCTGCATCCCCTTTACTCTTCCATACCCCTGACAAGTCTCCTTGCTGAGCCTGGGCGAGATGCTCAGTTATCTTTCTCGCAGGGCTGCTCTGGCCTTGGGGAGCCATCTGTGACTTGCTGAGCTGAGGTGGCTGGTCTGGCCCTGGCCTTTGGCAGTCAGGCTCAGCGGGTTTTGCTAGAGCTGCTTGAGCATGTTACAGAAAAATGTATCAAAACTGGCCAATCATCTTCTGCTTTTTGCCCGTTTGCAACCATGGGGCAGGAAAGTTGCTTCTGGAGGAGACTTCCTCTGCTGAGGCTGAAGCGAGCTGGCTCTGGTCCGAGCAGATCCTTTCGTTCTCGGCACGCGTCTCCATTTCATAGCCTGGGAGACGGGCAGTTGGTTGCCAGCGGGACTATAGCTGTGTGCCAGCGGCTGTGAGCGCTTGCGGGGCCGGGTGCTGTCGGGAAGCAGGGCTGCTCCCTCCCAGCAGTGCCGGGACCAGCTGGGACCAGTCCCTGCCCGAAGGTGCCTCTTCCTTCAGCATCCAGAGAGGAGAGTGGGGAGGTGATTGCCCCGGCTAGAGGCGGTGCTGGGCTGAAATGATTTGCTCCAGACCGTTTGCGGGGTTTATGGCAGGACCAGAAGGCAAAGAAAGCTCTTGATTTCTGTGCAGTGGCAGGCCAGGGACTGCCGTCTTCCTTAGCGCTTGTACCGTGGTGGCCAGCAGCTCTGTAGGGGTTCAGGCCTGGGTATCAGCGTGACACAGCACGCGCAGGACCAAGATGGTCCCTACTAGATTCTGTAGGTTTGAACAATTTATAGATCCAAGGCAAGAGGCCGGACAGGCGCAGCCGGCGTGTCCTCCCGTAGCAAGGGCTGGGCTGCTGTTCTGCTAACAACCTCATGCAGCTCTTCTAAGGGAGGCCTTGCAGTCTGCATGCAATATCTGCTGTGCTTTAAGTAAAGGTCTTGAAATAAACAGGCAGGGATGAGTCAGGGATGAGCGAGCTGTTGATACGAAGAACTGCAGGCATGACATAGTGAACTGGATCTTCGGAGAGGAAAAACTAATGCTGCTGTGTGACTCTGCTGTGGAGTTTAGTAGCTTCTTCAAACGGAAAGTAGCAATATTGCACAGAGCCAGGATTTCTGCCAGGCCTTGAAAGATAAACAGCGTCGGTATTTCTTCCCGCAAGCGCGTGTTCAACCTAACGCACTGCAGAGAGGTGGGGTGAGGTGGCCTCTTCCTTGCCCTTCTGGCTTGGCAGTGAATGGAGGCTGTGGCACTGGGATATGATGTGGGTAGTTCACTACCCACACCCTGGCACGGCTGGGTAGCGCTCCAGCTGCTGCCCTGGGGAAGTTTCGGCTTGGTGCTTTGCTGCCCGCGCTGTCTCCGCAGCCTTCGCTGGAACAGCAGCTGCGGCATCCAGCCGGCTGGCCCCCTCTGCCCACTTTGGCTGCCCCAGCGCTGGGCAAAGAATCGTTAATTGGCGGTGGGGGGAACCTCTAGGTGAAAAGTATCTATATAGAAGCAGTGCAAAGTTTGACGCCCTGCTCTGTTGTTTGCAGGGCTGCAGTTATAAATACTGCTCTTCCCCTTTATTGCTAGAGAGCCAGTCCTTTGCGGTCGGAGCCCGAGCTGGTCGCAGCACGAGGTGGGTGCTCACCACGAGGCCGGATCCTTTGCTTGACGGCAGGGCGTTCGCCCTGCCCGCGGACCCCCCCCGTCGGGCGCCCTGGGTCTGTGGCCAGGCCAGCGGCTTGGACCACGCAAAGCTGCCCGGCAGCGACCCCCGAGCCCGCTCCCCCCGCCCCCCCCA